ATTTGCCATCTCTTCAGTGGCGGCGGTGACGCCGACAACAGCTCCTCGCTTATAGAGGCCAAACACCACAACTGAACCCATTTCCACAGGTTGCCGATGTGTGTTGCGGTGTTCACGCGGCAGCAACCGCAGCATGACAAGGCATGTTTTGAAGGAAAAATCCTGTTCGGAAAGGGAACGCACAGCCTGTTCTTCCATCAGATGCACTGCTTTCATTCGCTGTCCGATTTGGAAGTGTCCTGCAGGCTCTGGCGGCACGTCATGAAATGCTAATGGTTCTTGCACGTCCACCGACAAGGCAGCGTTGCTTGCATCAGCACGCGCCACTGTCAAGGCATTCTTAGGGGCTAAACCATACGGGTTGAGGTTTATCTTATTAGGGTGGTGAGAATTGCTGACTGCTGACTCGGGCTGCATGTGCAACGCGGTCTGCTCCACACCCAAGCCACTGGCTTGAAGGGCACACTGCACGATGGAATGCAAAACTCGCTGCTGGCGACCAAGACAATCTTCAACATTAAGGTCTTTTGAACTGATGTGGTCTTGGGAATTTTCACAAGTACATGCGAATGACCCCAACAGCTTAATGTTACAAGCGATGCGAATGACAGTTTTGCATTTATTCCCAACCCAGTTTAGCCGCGCTTCGTGCCAGCACCAACTGTGATCAGTCACTGAGAGATTTGCAACCAACTCTTGCACTACTCTAAGCGACCAAACCAAACTACGAACATTTGCTTCCAAGACTAACAAACCACCTTGAGTAATTTGGTTATTTGCCACTTGCGCCAGGTGTTGCGCACGTTGGCTGTCATGCCTATTGCCTGTACCTGCCGCAGTGCCTCCCAGTCTGATCCATACCAGTGCTGGGCTCTGAGAGGCTTGCAAATTCAAAATGTGTCTTGCTTGCTGCTTAGAATGAAGATCACGGCTGAAATGAGTGCTCTGGAAACCCATCTGTGACAGAATATTTTGACGCATTCCTGCTTGATCACAGAAGACCCATGCCTGCACTGCGGCCCTATGCTTCTCCGCACTCAACGTTGAAGAGGCACGCTGGCACAGGCAGCTGCATTGCCCTGAGAATCTGGTTCAGGTGCTACGCAAGCACGTGACGATGCGAAATCAAGCGACTTGACAGGATCTATGGCAGAATCCTGTTCGGAATGCACAGGCAAGATAAGATGTCCACTCTCACTCAGAGCTAAGGGAAGCACAACTGTGCCTGGACTCATGGACATTTGGATCCCACCTGGACCGGGGATGATGAGTTTCCGTCCGTCAGTGTCAAGAATGGCCTTGGACTTTCTTAATGATCTCAACCCCAACAAAGGCGGCAAGTTGCTGTCTGGTACAATGGGAGTGTTGAAAGACCCCGGAATGTCTCCTGACTCTTCAGTGTGAAGCCGGAATCGAATGGCATGGCTGGTGGTGGCTTGCTGCGAACCCTTTCCAACTCCTTGCACATTCAACGGCTTCGCGAGCTGCCTGGAGTGAGTCTCACAGCCCAGCTGCTCAGCCATCAGTTCCATACTGGCGGCTCCGCACAGATTGTCGTGCGCTCCAGGATCCACAAGAAGTCCTACCTTGCCCTTGACACGGGTGTGCTCATGATACACGTGCGAGGTGCTGCTCGTTGCTCTGTCGCCTGTCACATCATCAGTCTCCCACCAAGGAAACAGCAGCGACTGCAACTGCACAGTCACTTTCCCTCGCTCTTGTTCATCTCGGCCTGCGTTTGGCCTGTGTGTTGGAGGGGGATGCTTAGGCTCAGGGGCACCATGCACCAGACGCTGAACACTCGGAGCAAGAGACACCTGGCTTGCACTGTCCTCGGGTCGGATCTGAACTGAAGATGGGCGAGAAGGCTGCCCTGGCTCCCAACTAGGAGGCTCGCTCGACTCGTTGTTTAGCGCACTGGCCCTACGCTTGTGAGGTTTATTCACGCTTGACACTTGCGACAATCGTTCCAGCTCTACATCAACTCCGGTCCGACTACCGCTTGCACGCGACACAGCCGACATGTAGTGTGAAGAAAATGTGACCCCAGGTAAAGATCGTTCTTCACCCCAGTCCTCACGCGTGCCAGCAAATTGGCCGGAACCTGCGTAGCTGGTGTGCAAGGTCAGCGCAGGCTGAGCCGACACATGATGAGCCGAGCCACCTTGCGTAACCAAAGGACACTGTCGCCACAGATGCTGGTCGGAGTTGCAGCGATTGCAACGCAGCACCTTCCCGTCCTTTCCTTTAGGATTGCCGCGTCCTTTTCCTTTGCCCTTGCCAGACCCGGACTGTCCCTTCCCGCCAGCAAAGCTGGAAGCCGGAAGGAATGCTGCATATGTTCGGGCATATGGGGACTTATTAAGGCGACTAAAATCCTTGGGCTTGTGACTGAACTTTCGATATCTTCGGGGAGGCTTGCCACTAAACCTTCGCCATTTTCTTCGGGCAACACGGTACTGATGATACAGCTCGCATGCTACGGCATCGTCATCCATGTGAGGATCAGTCGCGTTGAACGCAGAGTATGATTCTGCCATTCCTTCATCCTCACTGGAGGTGCAAGAGCTAATGTCCTCATCCTCAAAGAAAGTGCCACACGAATGACACTGCGCTCCCCACTCTTGGGACGCAGAAGCTGCATCTGCTCCAGCGTGTGAGGAAACGGGAGCTGCGCCTGTTGGTGCTAGGGGAGTTTGATGGGCATTAGTCCATGCCGGCGAAGCAGTGTAGCTTGGATATGCAGAGCCATATGCACTTCTACTTGCACACCCTTCCCCTGCTCCTTGCTCAAACACTGGGAAAAAATACGCTCCCGGATCCCCTGTAGCCCCTTGACGACCGGCACCCTTAAAACCATGCTCAAACAAATGGCCTTGTCTGCGTATCCGACCCATTAACTCAGTAAGTTGACCTTCGTTCTGTGGAAGCTGGCCTCCGATTGGTGCCAGCAAACGGTCCATGAGCTCTGGAGGGAGCTGCAAAGCACGCAACAAAACCCATGCAAGACCAGATGAGTTCAAAGCCAAGCCCCCTCTTTGCGCGGCACGATTCCGAAGCACGTCAAAGCGAACAAGCATGGAGTCTACGGATTCATTGGGAAGCTTGGCAAAAGCCATGAACTCTGCCACAGATTTGGTGCTCACTTCTTGCTCTAGGGGGGCATATCTTTGGGCTAGGGTCTGGACTAAAACCATTAAACCACTTATGTGTTGGCCAGTTTGAGGGTCTACGATTCCGTGGGATAAGACTTCAGGGGTTAGCTCTCTCACGAGTTCTCTGGCTGAACCCGTCACTTGCAATGCTGCCACTGGCCCCCATCTCTGCACGTCCATGTCTGTAGCTGAGGACCAAAGAACCAAGTCGGAGATCCAGGACCTGAGGCTGTAGTGGGACGATCTCTCCACTGACCACGCCGGCGGTACCTTCAGGGTAGCCGTTCCAATGAACGGTGGCCCTGCGTCACCCACATGGGCATGTTGACGAGGCCCTCCATCACGAAATCCGCCAGGGATCATCCCGCACAACCAAGAGGCGGCGAACGCTGCACTAGCCAACGTTTCAAGAATAAGCCATGTGCGATGGCTCAAAACTCGACCACGTCCGGTTTTCGCGCCTTGCCACTTCCAGCGTCGCTTGTGCAGGTTCTTGTCCTGTAGTCGTCTGAACGCTCCAATTGGTCTGATCAGTGCGTCGTAGTCGTTCCACGTGAGATTCCGTCTTTGACGACGTGTGCGCCACGTTGTCCAGTTACGCAATGGAGCCGATATCATCCCTTGGCTGTTCACCTGATCTGCTTCTGACTTGTCACTGGCCCAAACCACTGCTGTACTTGGTCCGGCCATCGACACCTCAGGAAGAGTCAGGCGTTGCAAAAGCTCCAGTGCGTTTCCGTCCATGCTGTAATTGTCGTCATTCAGAACCTGTCGTAGTTCCGCGATCACCTCCCGCACAACTTCATCTCGAATTCTGTCATGCCAAGAGGCCAAACTCGACGTATTCCGCAGGCTGATATTGGGCTCGTCCGCAGAATCCAAGAATTTGTGTACTTGGTCACCTTCCCACTCGAAGTCCAGATATGTATCCACGAGTGACAGGAAAGCCACCAAGAATAGCACAAATCCGAGGATTCCACGCCAAAGGTATCCGGAACTGGCCTGGTTCTGACCAGCCAGCTCCGCTACCAAGTTGGAATGCGGAGTCCTGCCTGCTGCTCCAACTTGATGCTCTGAACTTCTCCCCAATTGAATTGGTCGATTGAATGCATCGGACCCTTTTCTCAGCGCCATTGCCGAAAGGTGGAGTATGATACGTCACTGCTATGTGCCTTCAATGAATTCGTACAAAGGGCTCAAGTATGAACAGTCTGTCAAGAGGGACTCTGTGTGATCCACTCGTTGGAAACAACCCAATGGGCCTAATTAGTTCAAATGTCACTGCAAGTTCTCTGAACCTCGAGGCTGAGGTCGCACAAGATGTGCTGCACCTGCCAAGTAGAGCTGTTAAATCTTGACTCCTTCAGGGGAAGAGGTTCATGGTAGGAACCTAAACCCTAAACCCTAAACCCTAAACCCCAAACCCTAAATCCTAAACCCTAAATAGGGAACCTTGAGGAATTCTTCGGGAGCTTTAGGGGGTAGTGGGTAGTATTAAGGAACCTCGGGCTCCATACTCTCCTTGAAGCCCCCTCCTTGTGGTTTAGGGTTTAGGGTTTAGGGTTTAGGGTTTAGGGAACCCCGGGCCCTAGAACTGCCAACCTCTGAATCCCTTAAAGCCCGGCCCAGGGCCCCTGCGCCGTGCCCTTGACAGCCACCTTAAAAGCCCCACCCCAAAGCCCTAAAGAACCCAAACCAACCAACCCAAGAACAAAAGAAGACCTTCAAGAACCCTAAACCCTAAACCCTCAACCCTGAACCTTAAACCCTAAACCCTAAATCCTAAACCCTAAACCCTAAACTCTAAGCCCCAAAAAAACAACCTCAAGGGGCTCAGGGGCCGGCTCCTCGGCTGCTGCACAGTTACGCAGCGCCTGAGGGTAGTAGAGGTTATAGGAGTTGGGGTCTAGGGTTTAGGGTTTAGGGTTTAGGGTTTAGGGTTTAGGGTTTAGGGTTTAGGGTTTAGGGTTTAGGGTTTAGGGTTTAGGGTTTAGGGGTTAGGGGTTCGGGGTTAGGGGTTAGGGGTTAGGGTTTAAGCTTTGGGGGTTGGCATTGGGTTTTGGCGTGTTTGTGCTTATGCGAGTCAGGGCTTTAGGGTTCATGGGGCATATGCGAATCTTTGCACCCTAAACCCTAAACCCTAAACCCTAAACCCTAAACCCTAAACCCTAAACCCTAAACCCTAAACCCTAAACCCTAAACCCTAAACCCTAAACCCTAAACCCTAAAGGGCTTTGGTGGATTTGGGGCTTAAAGGGCTCAGGGCTTAGAGGGCTTAGGCTGGAACCAAGGGGAGCCAAATCAAATCCCAAAGCCCGACACCCTAAACTCTTCTAGAGCCGTAAACCCTAAACCCTAACCCTAAACCCGAAACCCTACACTCTACACCATAAACCCCAAACCCTAAACCTAAACCCAAACCCTAAACCCTAAACCCTAAACCCTAAACCCGAAGCCCTAAACCCTCAACCCTAAACCCCACACACTAGACCTTTTCGTGGCTTCGAAGTGGATTATGTCGAGAGTTGGTGCTGCAGTTCAGGAGCTACCGACGGAGCTGGGTATTGTGCGAATTTGAAGCCTGGGGGGAGGGTTTGGGGATTTCGGGGGTTTAGGGTTTAGGGTTTAGGGTTTAGGGTTTAGGGTTTAGGGTTTAGGGTTTAGGGTTTAGGGTTTAGGGTTTAGGGTTTAGGTTTCGGGTTTCGGGTTAGGGTTTTCGTAAAGGGTTTTGGGTCTTGGGATTTAGTCGGGCTATTGTAGGGCGCTTATAGGAGCTTTTGCACCAAAGGACCCCAAACTCCAAACCCTAGGACCCTCAACCCTATAAACCCAGGACCCTGAAGCCGAATTTAAGCGCCTGAATAATTAGAATAGGGTTTCGGGGGGTTGTTACAGTCTATTTACAAAGGGACCCCAAGGGAGTATTATTAGTAAGAGTATTCCGAACCCTACATTAAACCCTAAACCCTAAACCCTAAACCCTAAACCCTAAGCACCAAGCCCGAAGCCCCCTGACCGAATACATGCAACATAAGCCTTGCCAAAGAGGACGGCGTCGAGCGGCACGCCGCGCTGCGCGCAATCCTGGGTTCAGGGTGCAGGCTTCGACGGTTTAGGGTTTAGGGTTAGGTTTCAGGTAGGCTTTAGGCTTTAGGCTTTAGGCTTTAGGCTTTAGGCTTTAGGCTTTAGGCTTTAGGCTTTAGGCTTTAGGCTTTAGGCTTTAGGCTTTAGGCTTTAGGCTTTAGGCTTTAGGCTTTAGGCTTTAGGCTTTAGGCTTTAGGCTTTAGGCTTTAGGCTTTAGGCTTTAGGCTTTAGGCTTTAGGCTTTAGGCTTTAGGCTTTAGGCTTTAGGCTTTAGGCTTTAGGCTTTAGGCTTTAGGGTTTAGGGTTTAGGGTTTAGGGTTTAGGGTTTAGGGTTTAGGGTTTAGGGTTTAGGGTTTAGGGTTTAGGGTTTAGGGTTTAGGGTTTAAGCCCCTAAACCCCGAACCCTGAGCCCCTAAACCCTGGAACCCCGAAGCACTAAACCCTGAACCCCTAAACCCCCAAACCCCAAACCCTCATCCCCTTAGCCCTGAAACCCCGAAGCCCCAAGCCCTAAACCCTAAACCCTAAAACCCTAAACCCTAAACCCTAAACCCTAAAACCCTAAAACCCTAAAACCCTAAAACCCTAAACCCTAAACCCTAAACCCTAAACCCTAAACCCTAAACCCTAAACCCCAACACCCTGAACTCCACTTAAGGCCCTGCCCCCCGAGGTCCTCGAGGAGCGCGAGAGCCCGCGGCCACCTCGCATGGTCGAAGTTTGCGCGGACGGCGCAAAGGGTTTAGGGGATAGGGTTTAGGGTTTAGGGTTTAGGATTTGGGGTTTGGGGTTTGGGGTTTAGGGCTTCGGGGTAGTTTAGGGCAAAGGGTTTGGGGCTTAGGTCCTTGAGGGTCGGCTAGGGTTTAGGGTTTAGGGTTTAGGGTTTGGGGTTTGCGGTTAGGGTTCAGGGTGGTTCGGAGTTGAGGGTTTGGGGTTCAGAGTTGAGGGCTCAGGGCCCTACATACGTTCTAGACCTACTTGCTCTTAGTCGGGAGCAGGGAACAAGGTACCTTTCATCCCCTCATAAATATTTTTATACCCTTTAAGAGTTTCAGGATGGACCTACAAGTCGATGAGCCCTATGCCGCCTAAGCAACACAATCTGACTCCACAAGCCCTACACCCTAAACCCGAAACCCTAAAGCCTAAACCCTAAAGCCTAAACCCTAAACCCTGAACCCTAAAGCCTAAACCCTAAACTTGGGGAGGAGCTCACGTGCAGCCGGCGGGCGCGCCAGGATCAGAACCATCTCCCATCAGGGCAGAGTACCTCGGAGACTTTAGGGTTTCGGGTTTAGAGGGTTTAGGCTGTGCCGGGTTTAGGGGGTTTAGGCTGTATTAGGTTTAGGGTTTAGGGTTTATTGTTGAGGGGTTAAGGGTGGAGCGTCCTATACACCACAAATACACTACATCCGAGAAAACCTACACGCGAAACCCTAACCCTGCCCTTTGGGTTGTTTTTGGGGATTGAGGGGTTTGGGTCTGGGGTTTTAGGGTTTAGGTTTTGGAGGGCTAAGACGTTGCAGGACCACCCTCAACCCTCAACCCTCAACCCTCAACCCTCAACCCTAAACCCTAAACCCTAAAAACCTAAAACCCTAAAACCCTAAAACCCTAAACTCCCAAATGCCGAGCGAGTGGCACGTACTCATTCGGCGAAACGCTCTGGGAATCCATCTCCTGCAAAAACCCCCAAGGGGTTCAATGTTACATAGCAGATCCTTGGGCTCACATCGACTCCCTAGGGTTTAGGGTTTAGGGTTTAGGGTTTAGGGTTTAGGGTTCAGGGTTTAGGGTTTAGGGCTAGGGTTTAGGAACTTAGGCCCGAAGCATAAGTACATGAGCCCTTCGGGCAGACGACACCACCCATCTGCGGGCCTCAATTTGGTCCCCGGGGATGCTCTTTGAGGTGTATACTTGGAGGTTCACGGTACTTAGTAGCCAATAATTGCTGTTTTGGGTTGAGGGTTTAGGGTTTAGGGTTTAGGGTTTAGGGCTTAGGGATATAACTGTACTGAAGAAGGGCTTCTTGGGTTATAAGTACAGTTCTAATTGGTTAATAGGTACCATGAACCTCCAAGTAGGGTGTAGGGCGTAGGGGCTTCAGGCATTGTAAAGTTATAGGGCGTAGGGGTTTAAGGTATTGCATAGGAAATAGGGTTTCGGGGTTTAAGGCAGTAGATAGAGTGTAGGGCTTCGGGCCTTCAAGCAGAAGAGAGAGTGTAGGGTTTCGGGTTTAAGGCCGCATATAGGGCTTAGGGTTCTAAGGCAGCAGATAGTCCTAAACCCTAAACCCTAAACCCTAAACTCAATAGGCGAAGCCGGATCACATTCAACCCCCGGAGTGTCGGAAAGCCCCAAAAGCAGATCAAGTTAAAGAGCCCTAAACATGAAACCCAAAACCTCTGAGCCAAAAACAGAGGAACTTCAAGGTCTAGGGTTTAGGGGTTTAGGGGTTTAGGGCTTTAGGAGTGTATGGGTTTAGGGGTTTAGGGGTTTAGGGGGTTGGGGGTTTAGGGTCCCACCAACTCCTACCCAGCTAAATCCTACAACCCCTTCGCTTGCCTCAAAGAGCTGTAGCGCCAGGTCAATGCGACCCTGCCTGGTGTGGTTAGCGTTCAGTGCTTAGGGATGAGGGTTGCCCTGAATAAACCCTAAGCCCTAAACCCTAACACTAAACCTTAACCATAATAAACCCTAAACCCTAAACCCTAAACCCTAAACCCTAAATCTCGTTTTGGGAGTTCCAAGCTGATGGGCCACCCAAAGGCCTGCTTAGGGGCTTCAGACTTCAGGGCTTTTAGGGTTTAGGGTTTAGGGTTTGGGGTTTAGGGTTTAGGGTTTGGGGTTTAGGGTTTAGGGTTTAGGGTGTAGGGTTTAGAGTTTAGGGTGTAGGGTTGGGGTTTAGGGCAGGGCTGAGGGTTGAGGGCTTGGGTCGTATGGATTCCTAAACCCCTCAACCCCCTAAACCCCTCACACCCTAAACCCCAATTAATTAGGGGGGAAATACCCTTGGGTGAGGGATCCTGGGGTTCCCAGGAAGAAGAGCACTAAGTTTAGGGTTTCGGGTTTGGAGGGGATGGGGGGGGAACTCATGCTGATGATTGTGGGTGGTATGGTCTAGTAGTGCTATCTCCGAAAGAGCAACGATAGTGCCAAGCGTCACGGGTTTCCCGCCTACCCCCCTCTAGACTACCCTCCCCTCTAGGTTCCCCCCGTTTCAAGATCCCTAATTCGGCAGAATTATGCCTACATACCTTAATTATGGGGGGAACCTAGGGGGGGTAGAATTAAGGCTATGTAGGTATAACTGTGCCAAATTATAGTTATTTAAGGGGGGGAACCTAGGAGCGGAAGGGTGGTATAAAGGGAGGGGTAGTAGGAGAACCCATGAAATTTGCAGCAAGGTTTTGGGTTGGGACTGCGGCTTTGGGAAGCTGTGCGAAGGCTTATGGGCCCAAGACTTCGGAACCCCTATAAGCAAAAAAAACCCTGAGCCCTTAAACCCTAAACCCTAAACCCTACTTAAACCCTAAACCCTAAACCTTAAACTCTAAACTCTAAACTCCAAACCCTAAACCCTAAACCCTAAACCCTAAACCCTAAACCCTAAACCCTAAACCCTAAACCCACAGCACACCAGAGACAAGAGGAGAGGCCTCTCCAAAGCCAACATCTCGACCTGGATTCAAGGTGGTTGACCTCCTGAAGCTCTATAATTCCAGGGCCCTAAACTTCTCAAGTAGGGTTTAGGGTTTGGGGTTGGGGTTTGGGGTTTTGGGGTATCCCCTCACGACACCAACCCAAAGCTCAACAAACCCGGAGGCATAAACCAGAAAAAGCCTGCGCCAGGACCCCTGAAGGGGTTTAGGGCTAAGGGTTCAGGGTTTTGGTCTTAGGGCCCCACTCGCTAAACATAAGAACCCGGATTCGGATGCAGCACAGTTTCACTAAGATGGCCCTTAAAACCCTCTGAAAAATATTCCTGAATATGACCCTCTTAAACCCAATAATGGTAAATATAAAATGTCCCAAGGGCCTACCTAGTTCATGTTCGAACATATCCTGGTTTGTTGGCCGTCCTTCTGGGCTTTGCCCGACCCAGGGCCTTTTTGATCCACGGTCCCATCTTCGGTACAAACTGAATCCAGGAAGCACATGCTGTTGAAAACCCTAAAAACCCAGCACCCCAAACCCTCAACTCGAAACCCTAAACTCCAAACCTCAAACCCCAGACCCCAGACCTATAAACCCTAAAAGCACTAAGCCACAAAGCCCGCAAGCAGATCCCCAGCTCAAAGCCACTGGCACCTCCCCCCACCCCCGCCCTGTCCCCCCCCCTCCCCCATCCCTGGGGCGCCGGGCCGAGTAGTGAAACGCATCCGGCGCCGCCCCTGTGGTTCAATGGTTTAGGGCTTAGGGTTCAGGGTTTAAGGGCTGCAAGTAGGGTCTCTCAGGGTTTTCTTCAATGCTTTAGGGTTCAGGCTTTCGGGGCTGCAAGTAGGGTCTTTGAGGGTTTTCATGTTTCGAAGGTATTTAGGGTTTAGGGTTTAGGGTTTAGAGGGGGAGAGGGATTGGAGTATTGAAAGGGCTTCGAGGCTTTAGGGCCGTGGGGGCTTAAGGCTCTTCTGGGGGCTTTAGCCTTAAGGCTTCGTGTTTAGGGTTTAGGGTTTAGGGTTGAGGGTTTAGGGTTTAGGGCGGCCTTGGAAGTTGCCATTGTGGCGTCCCAAAAAGAACTATGACTAGGGTCTGGGCTTGCCCTGACTTCTCTGAAAGGACCCAAGCTGCAAAAATCCTACAAAACCCTGAACCCAAAACCCTAAGCCCTAAACCCTAAACCCGAAACTGTAAGCTCCAACACCCTGAAACTTAAAACAAACTTCTGCCTCTTCAAGCGTTGTTAAATATGATCCTCTTTTTTGACACCCAGAAAGGGAGACACAAGAACTCCAACGCCCTGCCTAACTAAAACCCTAAAACCCTAACACCCTACGACCCTACAACCCGAAACTCTGAAAGCCTTTAACCCTATATCCCTAACAACCCGAATATCCCAAAATCTAAGGGTAGTTACATGGTCCCTGTGGGCCCATACTTCAGAACCCCCTCAAGAAGGTAAGGGACGATATCCAGGGACCATGCATCCCCAAACCCTAAACCCTAAACCCTAAACCCTAAAACCTAAACCCCAAACCCCAAACGACCTGAATCCTAGGAGCCCGCCGAATTGCCTGTGTCCCGGCGCTGCCGTGAGAGCTGCAGTCTCAAGAAGTCGAGGATTTGTAGGGTTTAGGGTTTAGGGATTTGGACTTTGGGCTTTGGGGTTGGGATGTTCACCCTTATGCTTAGAATAGGGTACAATAGTGGTTCCTTTTAAGGACAGGGCTTTGGGGCTTGAAGTTTTGAGGTTTAAAAACTTTCAACGCTGAGAGGTTTAGGTTTGGGATGTTCCCCCTTATACTAGCAGTCCTTCATGGGGATTATCATAGGGGCTGAGCCCTAAACCCTAAACCCCAAACCCCAAACCCTAAACCCTAAACCCAAAAATCCCTATTAGGGACTGTTAGAATGAGGGGAACATCCCAAGGCTTTAGGGTCTTGAGTTTGGGGTTTACAGCTTTCGGGTCTCAGGGTTCTCGGGGTCTTACGTCGGATTTGGCGCCTAAGGATGCAGGGTTTGGGGTTTAGGATGGGTTTTGGGTTTAGGGTTTAGGGTTTAGTGTTTGGAGCTGGAGCGGGCTAATGTTACAAGAATGGGGAGCATTGGGTTTAGACTACAGCTTCCGCAGTACAGGCTGCATCGTCAAGTTTTGATCATGGAAAGGGCAAGAGCTGTTGATACACAAAGTGCTGGGGTCTTATGGGGATTTGGGGGTGTAGAGTTTCGGGTGTTTTTTGGCGCCTTGGGTTGAGATTCAGGAGTTGAGGAGTTGATTGGCTGAGGGTCCCCCCCCCGCCCCCACGCCCCTGCCCCACTCTGCCCCCTTGGCAGCTGAGATTGAGACGCCAGGTCCCACTGGCCTGCCTGAGATACAGGGTGCAGTCGAGGGCGCCGTCGAGGGCAGAGGTTTTTGGGGTTCCTAGGCCGCCCAAAAAGTCCCCTAAACCCGAAACCCCAAAGTTGTGCAGGGGACGCAGGGGCATAGCAGATTCGAGTAGAAGCCCTAAAAATGCGAGGTCTTGAGCCCTAAATCCCTACAACCCCAAGAGTCCAGACCCCCGAGGCTGAACCTCAACTCCGTGAAGGTTTAGGGTTTAGGGTTTAGGGTTTAGGGTTTAGGGTTTAGGGTTTAGGGTTTAGGGTTTAGGGTTTAGGGTTTAGGGTTTAAAGTTTAGGGTTTAGGGTTTAGGGTGTAGGTTTAGGGTTCAGGGTTCAGGGTTCAGGGTTCAGGGTTTAGGGTTTAGGGTTTAGGGCTTGGGCTTAGGAGCTTCGAGTTTAGGGTGTAATTGGGGTTTGGGGCATCTGAAACAGCAAATCGTGGCGAGGCCTTGAGGGAGGCCGCGCGGGCTGTGCCCAACATCCTCGCTGTCGAAGAGGGAGGGGGGGAGATGGGGAGAGGGGGAGAGGGGGAGACAGGCAGGGGAGAGGGCGGGGCAGATGGGAGTCTTTGGGGGCTTCGTCTTACAACAGTAGTATAGCGATTATTACGTACACGTACGGGAATAGCAGACCCGTTGTCTGCAACAGCAGGGCGTGGAGAAGAGAGACAATCATGCTCAAAGGGTCCGAATACCCTACCAACCCTAAGGGTCCGTACAGAAATACTTGGGCTTTAATTTTCCCCCTATTCAGGCACTTTTGCGGCCCAACATGGACCTTTAGGGCAACCTTTGAGGTGCTTTCGGTGTTGTGACGCATTCTTGTTCCGACCTGCCACTTGCCTTCTCGTTTCAAAGACCCGTAAGCCTAAGCCCAAAGCCTTTGAGGCAGATCCTTGGGCTGCAACGGGCTTGGGTCTTTAGGGTTTAGGGTTTAGGGTTTAGGGCTTAGGGCTTAGGGTTTAGGGTGTAGGGTTTAGGGCTTAGGGTTATCAAGGAAGGTGGCTTTGGAGATGCTGAACATGCACAGGTAAGTATTAGGTATCCCCAAACCCTCAACCCTAGACCCTGCCCCAAAAGGATCTACAGCCAGGTGAAGGGCCATTGGGGGGGGGGGGGGGTGTAAGCACCTTGAACCTTTCTGGTCTAAGGAAGTAGGAACCCTCTCGATCCCTTGAAAGGGTTTCGGGTTGGATTTCGGGTGTAGGGTTTAGGGTATAGGGTTAAGGCTTAGGGAGCAGTGTATGTGGCGCCCTCTCGCTGAAATATGTCCTTGCGTCCAGCTGCTGGACCACCCCGTGCCGGATGATCTGGCAGCTGCTTGTGACGAATACAGAGGGTTTCCGAAAATAGGGGTACCCTTTTTCGGCTGCCGGTTCAAAACAAAAAGGGTCAACAAAAATCACAGCCGAGGGTTTATGTAGGGTTTAGGGTTTAGGGTCTAGGGCTAAGGGCCAAGGGCTTAGGGCTTAGGGTAAAGGTTTAGGGTTTAGGGTTTAGGGTTTAGGGTTTAGGGTTTAGGGTTTAGGGTTTAGGGTTTAGGGTCTAGGGTCTAGGGTTGAGGGTTGAGGGTTTAGGGCCTAGGGTTTCGGGTTTATTTTTGTTTTATCCTTTTTCCCGAAAGCATCGCGAAGGGTTCTTCCGTGCGGAGCCCTCTGACCCAACCACATAGAGTGAAGTGCAGAGAGTGAAGTGCATAGAGCGAAGTGCATAGAGCGAAGGGCATAGAGTGAAGCGCATAGAGTGAAGTGCATGGAGTGAAGAGCATAGAGTGAAGCGCATAGAGTGAAGTGCATAGAGTGAATTGCATAGAGTGAAGTGCATAGAGTGAAGTGCATAGAGTCAAGTGCATAGAGTGAAGTGCATAGAGTCAAGCGCATAGAGTCAAGTGCATAGAGTCAAGTGCATAGAGTGAAGTGCATAGAGTGAAGTACATAGAGTGAAGTGCATAGAGTGAATTGCATAGAGTGAATTGCATAGAGTGAAGTGCATAGAGTGAAGTGCATAGAGTGAATTGCATAGAGTGAAGTAGAAGTTAATAGAAATTACGAGATTTACGTAGAATATCGTAGACCTTCGTACCCAGTCCTAGATTTCTAAATTAAAACTAAATTAAAATTACTCTTTCTAAGGCGGCGGGCTGGGTTGACATCGCCAATCGGGATTGCAACCCTCTGCGGGTTTCGGCGTGGTCGCGGTGCTAAAACCATCGTTTTTTTACGTTTCTTGATTTGCGCGGACAACCCTCTGCGGGTTTCGGCGTGGTCGCGGTGCTAGAACCGTCGTTTTTTTACGTTTCTTTGTGTCCACGGACAACCCTCTGCGGGTTTCACCGTGGTCGCGGTGCTAAAACCGTCGTTTTTTTACGTTTCTTTGTGTCCGCGGACAACCCTCTGCGGGTGATCGCCGGGTCGCGGTGCTAAAACCGTCGTTTTTGGTACTTTTTTTCGTGGCCGCAGACAACCCTCTGCGGGTTTCGGCGTTGGCACGGTGCCAAAACCGTGGTGTTTTTGCGTTTTTTGACATACAAACGTAACCTCTCTGCGGCTTTCGGTGTTGGCGCGGTGCCGAAACCCTCGTGTTTTTGCGTTTCTTGACATGCAAACGTAACCCCTCTGCGGGTTTTCACGTGGTCGC